GTTTAGGGCTGTTGTACATAGGGTCGCTATGAGTCGCAAGCAACCAGACGGCACATAACAACAACAACATGCAGACTGAATTCCTACACTGAGCCATAGCGCTGTGTGTCCTTAATGGACCAGGTAGTGACAGAGTGCCCTCTTGAATCACTTTCACCTGGCAGAACTCACTCAACTTTATACTTTTTCTTTCTTTTTTTTTTTTCTTGGATAATAGTTTCCCCAGTTTGAACTGTTTAAAATATAGGAAAATAGCTAGGAAATGTTTTAATAAATCAGGTCAAGAACCACTCAGAACATTTACATCTGAATCTCTCAAGGCCAGATATCATAGTGTAAAAAAATTGTTCCAGATGATTCTAATGTGCAGTCATGGTAGAGAACTATTCAGGTAAAGAAAGGGTCACCATCTTCTGATTTGAATATCCTTTCTCAGACAGTTTAGTCCAAAGGGACAGTGTGAGGACTGTCCTCTTCAGCATGCTGACATTGGTGACTACAGGTGAAACCAAGGTGAAACTGATTCCTACAGATTAGTACCAGAGTCAAGGCCCTGTGTGATGCACTTACTGGTTTATCTAGCCTTGCACATTTTACCCAGTTACTCACAACTCTGTGTATTTCTACATATACTTTTAACTTTTGATTGTTTTAGCTGTCCTCTAGCACATTTACATGATGGAAAGCAGGTCAAAATACTGATCAAATGTAGCATAAGAGGGAAATACTGCAGGCTAAGAGACTTGGAACAGGTTAGAAACTCCAAAGTTCAAACGCATCTCCATCAAATCAGACCAGTCCCATTGCTTTTGAGAGACTTAAGTCACAGAGGAAGAGATTGCCCATCTTTCTCCTGTAGAGTCACTGGTGGATTTGAACCACCAAAGAGCCACTGTCCTTAGTTTGCACAGCAGCTCTCTACAGACTGTGCCACAAGGAAGGGGGGCATCTGGCCTCATTCGCCTCCCAACAGCGGGGAGGGGGGGTTAGAACGCCTACCTGACTACAAGAAGTTTATACCTTCAAGGGTCCTCCCTAGCAGCCACCCTCCTCCATGTCCAGGTGTGTGTCCTCTTTCACTACACACATTCTGTAGGGTGTCCTTGTTGTTGTGTGCCATAAGTCAGAACCAACATGCATATGTTGATTTTTTTTTTAGAGACAATAAATCACAGAGGAGATTGCCCATCCTTCATCCTGCAAAGCAGCTGGTGGATTCAAACCTTGTGCCTTTGGGATGGCAGCACAGCTCTTTACCATTAGACCAAGAAAAGATGAGGCACCAATTCCTCCACCTCTGTGCCCAGATTGCACTCCCCAACCAGCGATCTGCCCTCTCTGTTGACCATTGAACCTTTTATCCCTGCCAGCCACTCAGAGTTGTGCCTCGCAGCTGTTAAAGTGAAAAGTCCTGTCATCACAGCCCAGCAGCTGACAGGTACCACCCTGTCCAGCTGCCAGGCCAGTTTTGCAGCCAGAACTTTGTGACTGTGAGTGAACTGTCACAGGCTCGGCTCTCATCTTGCTCCAGGTTTCCCGGCGGTTTATCTTGCTCAGTTTATCTTGGAAAGCTCACAATAGCTGGAGCTGGTCTGGGGCTCTGGGTGAAGACAGAGTGCAAATTCCTAACACAGCTTGGAGGCCATGTGGGTGAGGAAGGAGTCAGTCACCTGTACTCCATCCATGCTCGGGGGAGGTGCTGAGGGCTGAGATCCATCAATGCAAAGAAACCACAAGTGTCTGCACACTGGAAAGCTCACATAGAAGGCAAGGGGAGTGATGACTGCAAATGTTTAATACCCGTCTGCACAGTCAGCGCATTACTTTTTTACTGCGGTTAAACTCAAATGATTCTCAGTTACAGGGTGTGATTTGGCTGCGTGCATTCGTGGCTGATATAAAGTGGGCTGGGAATACCAAGAGTGGGGCTGCTTCTGAGACTCTCAAAATAGCCCAAAAAGAACCAAAGTGATGAAGATCTAACATTTCTCTGTCTTCAGCTTTCTGCTTGTCAAAGGCATACTTGAGAGTAATTGGAAAGGCACATTTCCTCTGGATTTTAAACCAGTGTTGGGTCCCCAGCATAAATGCACCCCAGTGACATAACTATCTGTGACTCTCACTTTGTATTCCCTAAGGTAGTTGCCATTAAACCTATTATCACAGGAATTGTTTACTCCTAATCCTTACCGTTGTTGTGTTGTTGTCGTCGTGTACCATCAGGTCAAACTGACCCATAGCCAAGCCTCCATGGGTTTTCAGAGACGGTAAATCACACAGAAGAATCCTGTTCATCTTCCTCACATGGAGCAGTGTGTGGCTTCCAGCTGTGTGCCTCTGGCTCGGCAGTGCAATTCCTTACCACCAAGCCACAGAGCTCCCTCTTCCATAGAAGCGTATCAGACACTTGGCAGTAAATTCATGCCCCGTATTCCTCTCACTAGGATACTTGTTCTTCATCTTTCTTTCAAAGCTACTCCCAAATCTATACCCACAGTCTCAGCTCAGATCTAAAACTTCTTCACAAAACCTCCAGAGAACAATTCCTCTCTCAGTAATATCTTAAGCTACTATAGTTGTTCATATTATCAAACGTATCATTTAAATCTCAGAGAAGCTTTTGTTAGTTTTACATTGTCTGATGTTTCTATTGGTACTTTCTGAGGGTGTGCACTCTACTTATACACCCAAGGAGGATAAAATTGACTTAGAAAAACCATAAAGTCAAGAGCACACCCTGAGTAAGTACAAGTCTGGTTATCCGATAGACTGATTTACTGCCTTAAAACTCCAACTACCACTTACACAAAAGACTGCATCATCCAGAGCTATACTCTTCACTCTGTGATTCTGGAACACAGAGCACAGATTAAAAGGAGATGAACAGGCTTGGGTTTATTTCAGATGATGCAGTGGGTTTTATAACTCAGAACATTTAGACTTACCTCGGACATAGATCCATCAACAGGCTCTGTATTCTTCCTCATGTTTCTGGCATCCCCCTCTGTTCCCTAAAGTGATCTAAATACAGTAAACAACTTGGAGAAACGTCTTGTTTGTTTTTCATTACCTTTTAAAATCATTTTTCTGGGTGACAGATTCAGAGAGGTCTTCGGCTGTGAGCCACCTGTGAAGGCTGAAGCTCTGAGAAAGCTTGGAAATTTGGAAGACAAATCCACAATCACACTCCTCTGCATGACACCAACCAACAATCCTAGTGATTCAGTGCATAGACTCATGTCCTTCTCTGCTATCCCGCCAAGCACACTGGAAAGGTGGCCTCGGCTCCGTTACATTCTCTCGTTGGTTTCTGCCTTGCTTATGAATGAGGCTGGGTTTACTGCTACTTTGCCCAAATACTTTTTACTCAAGGAAGCCAAAGCTTTTCAGTGCAGATGTCCTTTGATTCCTTTGTTTCATTGCCAAATTCTGAGATTAAATACTGCAACGTTTTCAGAAGCCTGAGGTTACAGTTGATGCTTAGTGTTATGATAATAAAGAACACCCCCCTCCCTGGTTTTTTGGGTTTTTTTGCTAACCTTTTACAACTATTCTAGAATCACATATTCCGAAGCTAGAAGAGACTTAAAAGTCATTCCTTGGATGAGCAGTCTCACATAAACCAAACCAGTAACTTTAATGAAGTTATAATAAAAATAGTTCTAATAAAAGGAACTAAACTCCCTGATGTCTAACCTTGGTAATGAACAACCTTGCAGGAGGACAAGACTGAGTTTAACTTGGTTTTTTTATTTTTTGCTTATTTCAATGGTTTTATTTCTCTCTTAACGTCTATTTGTTGCCACATGCTCAAACATCTCTATTTTTCCACTACTAAGTACATAAATGAGTCTTTGAGTATCAGTATAACATCCAATACATGTATGTCTGTGACCCCATAAGAATTTGTGCTTGTTGGTTTCATTAAAGGGAAAGTGGCAACTCTTTTGTTTATTATTCCCCCTTGGCACCAGCAGCCAGGAAATCAAAAAACATATTGTGATGGGAAAGT